TACAGTGCCTTGCTAAAGTATTCGGCCCCCTTGAACTTTGCGACCTTTTGCCACATTTCAGGCTTCAAACATAAAGATATAAAACTGTAATTTTTTTGTGAAGAATCAACAACAAGTGGGACACAATCATGAAGTGGAATGAAATTTATTGGATATTTCAAACTTTTTTAACAAATAAAAAACTGAAAAATTGGGCGTGCAAAATTATTCAGCCCCCTTAAGTTAATACTTTGTAGCGCCACCTTTTGCTGCGATTACAGCTGTAAGTCGCTTGGGGTATGTCTATCAGTTTTGCACATCGAGAGACTGAAATTTTTGCCCATTCCTCCTTGCAAAACAGCTTGAGCTCAGTGAGGTTGGATGGAGAGCGTTTGTGAACAGCAGTTTTCAGTTCTTTCCACAGATTCTCGATTGGATTCAGGTCTGGACTTTGACTTGGCCATTCTAACACCTGGATATGTTTATTTGTGAACCATTCCATTGTAGATTTTGCTTTATGTTTTGGATCATTGTCTTGTTGGAAGACAAATCTCCGTCCCAGTCTCAGGTCTTTTGCAGACTCCATCAGGTTTCCTTCCAGAATGGTCCTGTATTTGGCTCCATCCCTCTTCCCATCAATTTTAACCATCTTCCCTGTCCCTGCTGAAGAAAAGCAGGCCCAAACCATGATGCTGCCACCACCATGTTTGACAGTGGGGATGGTGTGTTCAGGGTGATGAGCTGTGTTGCTTTTACGCCAAACATAACGTTTTGCATTGTTGCCAAAAAGTTCGATTTTGGTTTCATCTGACCAGAGCACCTTCTTCCACATGTTTGGTGTGTCTCCCAGGTGGCTTGTGGCAAACTTTAAACGACACTTTTTATGGATATCTTTAAGAAATGGCTTTCTTCTTGCCACTCTTCCATAAAGGCCAGATTTGTGCAGTATACGACTGATTGTTGTCCTATGGACAGAGTCTCCCACCTCAGCTGTAGATCTCTGCAGTTCATCCAGAGTGATCATGGGCCTCTTGGCTGCATCTCTGATCAGTCTTCTCTTTGTATGAGCTGAAAGTTTAGAGGGATGGCCAGGTCTTGGTAGATTTGCAGTGGTCTGATACTCCTTCCATTTCAATATTATCGCTTGCACAGTGCTCCTTGGGATGTTTAAAGTTTGGGAAATCTTTTTGTATCCAAATCCGGCTTTAAACTTCTCCACAACAGTATCTCGGACCTGCCTGGTGTGTTCTTTGTTCTTCATGATGCTCTCTGCGCTTTAAACGGACCTCTGAGACTATCACAGTGCAGGTGCATTTATACGGAGACTTGATTACACACAGGTGGATTCTATTTATCATCATTAGTTATTTAGGTCAACATTGGATCATTCAGAGATCCTCACTGAACTTCTGGAGAGCGTTTGCTGCACTGAAAGTAAAGGGGCTGAATAATTTTGCATGCCCAATTTTTCAGTTTTTTATTTGTTAAAAAAGTTTGAAATATCCAATAAATTTCGTTCCACTTCATGATTGTGTCCCACTTGTTGTTGATTCTTCACAAAAAATTACAGTTTTATATCTTTATGTTTGAAGCTTGAAATGTGGCAAAAGGTCGCAAAGTTCAAGGGGGCCGAATACTTTCGCAAGGCACTGTATTAACACTGATTTTCTCAGGTGTTCAAATACTTATGTTCAGCAGTGCAAGACAAATAAATTCTTTAAAAAAAAAATACAATGTGATTTCCTGAATTTTTTTTTAATTCTGTCTCTCAGAGTGGGAATGCACCTACAATGTGAATTTCAGACCCCTCCATGATGTCTAAGTGGGAGAACTTGCAAAATTGCAGGGCGTTCAAATACTTCTGTTCCTCACTGTATGTCCCAACCATAGACTGTATATAAATGATCCCAACACACACAAACCATACACTGTATAAACATAGAATAAGTCCAGCCTGCACATTTTCTCAAACATTTATTCAGTAGAAATTCTAAGACAGCAGGCAGACAACTTTATGCTTTTAATATTAAGTTTAGCAGCTACAAGGACAAATGATAGGTTGTGACTACTAATTGCATTTAATAAACATGAATATTATGCATGTTGATTAGGTCAATCTCTAAGGTGCCTCATATGGAGAGCCCCATGAGTTAGCATAATGGCCACTAAAGGCAGCTTCTCTCTGCGTCTACATTTGGTCATTGTGTTTGAAATGAATCATGTAAAAATCTGTTTTTTTTTTGTTTTGTTTTTTTAGAAAGCTGTAGCACACTTGCACTAGTTGTCTTGATAGAAGCCATTGTAAGTGAATCCTTGCCTCTCTGAGTCTTTACAACAGAGGTGCTACATGTAAAGTTATCATGCATTTCCTTCCAACAGACAACACAGTTTTGCAACAGCCTTCGAGATGTGGTTGCACTGATTTGTTGGCCATATCACAGATGAAAACTGTATACTATATACTGATAATAAAATAAAACACTAGAGTCCAAATAATGCAATGCATGATAAATTTCGTTTTAGTTTCTATGTTGTCACAAACTGGGGATTAAAGAGTTCACACTACAATAAATCTTGACCAAGCATTGCATGTAGGCTAACACTATGCAATGATTTGTGACTTCAGCAAGCAATAAATGTTGAAGGGTTTCAATCTAATGCTCAGAAATGATGCAGAATACGTTACAAAACATCTTAAAATGTAAAGCTCTCCTGAAGATAAAATGAGCACAACTTACATTTTCATTGGCCAGACGGGCTAGTCTTTCAGCTTGTAGAGCTTTAAGGACTTTGTTGAACAGTTTATTCTGAGCCACTGACCATCCAGTCCTGAAACAAAATGATAATGTTAAAGGAATGCACTTTAACTGAGATACTTTAAACCATAACTTCTATTCCCAAAGAAATCAATTATCAACTGCAATCACAGATAACACACAAACAGTTAAGATGATTGATTACTTGTTTATGTGTTCCTCCCAGTCATCAGGAGGTGGAGGGCTCTCAGCAACAGTACGAGCAAATAGGACATGTCGCTCACATTCCTTCATCACACTAAGAGCTTTCTGGTTGTCATATAAAGGAATAGGTGTCGGTGTGACAGTTTCCACATCTATTAAAGAATCCGAGTCTCTGCGGACAAAGACAAGAATATGAAGCTCTTGCAAGAAATAGCAATAGTTTTGTGATCAAACTGGTCACTGGGAGATTGATTTTACTACAGCTGAGAAACGGAGTTGGCTGGTGACAATCCCAAACTGTAGTCTCATATTTAGTTCAGCTACAAATTATGACTAGGTGCTTTCTGACTCACGATAAGGCTTCAGGCGGGCGACGAGGGGTAACAAACAGTGTCCTTGTGGGGCGGGCGCTGCTGGCATCTGGGTGGGCATTCCATGGTTTGGCATAGCTGTGGTCCAGAAACACCAAATCCAGCTCTCTTTCATGAGCTGATAGCTGGAAAAGCAATGATGTGGCCATCTTTCGTGCCAGTACCTGGAAGTCCTTATCCCCACCACGATGCATCCTCTTCCAGCCCAGGGAAGGGCTCAACAATTCGTGTGGATTTAGACCAGACTGCTGGGAAAGAGGGAGAAAAACTTTGAGACAGCTGGAAAAAAAAGAAAGAAAATGTCATCAAATCCAAAAGAATCTGGGTTATCTCAGCTTGGGCTTGATTTTCACTATAATCTTTCTCTCTTTCTTTTCACACATACATATTTTGTGAGTCCCCTTACTTTATGTAACCTCCATACAAAAGTCTCTGCAGTAACGTTAGTTAAGAGATGACTCTATACAATTAAGATACTTTTTTACATCTGAGTAATTTCAAAAGCAAAACAACCCAAACTGTGCTGGTTTCAGCTTCGTAATGTAAATATACCCTAGTTTCGTAAACTCAGCATACCATATCTTTTAGTTTTGTAATGTTACTGTTGGTCTAAACAGGACAATTGTAAAATTACTTTTAAAATTATCTGATTTATCGAAAAGATAACTCAATAAAAAAAAAAAACTGGCGTAGACTGACATTCAAATATGGAAGTGCTTTGTTCACAGTGAGCACCACCCACTGCTAGTATGACTGAATATAGTTAGCTTGTTTAATATCACTGACCTGTTTTGAGTTGAATATAGGGAGAAAATATGGAGACTCATGTAGACTATGTGAGTACAAGCTTAACGTTAGCATATATTTTAATGTTACGATGTGCAAAGCGGCTGGCGGCTGTAGGCTAGCCTAGCATGCTGACAAGTAGCACAGCAAGCTAAAAGCTAATCGAGTGGCGCTATCGCCGTATGTTGTTCCTCACCTCTTAGTTCTATTACACCATGTTCGTCGTGACGGCTTAAATTCCTCTTATGGGAAAACCAAACCAAAGGAAGAAAGGTGTTCTTAATAAAGTGTATAAGTTACACAAAACACAAAATCATATTGCGTACCAGCCGCACTTCCTTTTGTTGTGCAATCTGTTGCCATGCTAGACAACATCCTCCCCCGCTCCAGGCACACAAAAACAATGATAACATTCAGGGGCTGAATTTCAACCAAACTGGCAACCCAGCTTATGGCGCGTCAGCGAGTAACAGAAAACCTGGGATGGATAAAGATTTGAATCATCTTACAAACTGGGGCCTTTCTGGGTGGAGTTTGCATGTTCTCCCTGTTCCTGTATGGATTCTCTCCGGGTACTCCAGCTTCATCTCAGAGTCCAAAGAAAGATTTCGTAAGAAGTTCATAAATAATACAGCATTGGAGTCACATCTGTAATGTGAGTTTTCTCCAGAATGGTTCAGTAGAAATGCTTGATTCTTTGTGTGGTAACAGTGCGGGTCATGTAGAATCTATAAATGATGTCCTTATACTGTAAATATTTAAAAAAAAAGTTTTTATTAAACTTGAAAGTTCATAATTAATCCAGCATTGGAGTCACATCTTGCACATGGAATGTGAGTTTTCTCCTGAATGGTACAGTAGAAATGCTTGATTCTTTGTGTGGTAATCGTGCAGGTGATGTAGAATCTAGGAATGATGTCCTTATGCTGTAAATATATATAAAAAAAGTGTTTTTATTAAACTTGAAAGTTCATAAATAATACAGCATTGGAGTTAAGGTATAAATGTAAGTATATAGAGTATATAGGCGCACTTCAAATTCTAGCGCGGCTGGCTTGACCACGAAAAACTGAACGGCGGCTGATTTGACCGCAGTGATCTAGTTCAGGGCT